TCGCTTTAATTCTTGTTACACTATGGATCACTGGAAAGCGGCAAAGCATCTGGTTAGGTATCTTAAAGGTTCTTCAGGTCGTGGTATTTTGTTTAAAAGAAATGTTGAAGGTGTGTTAAAGGGGCATGCAGATGCAGATTATGCAAATGATGTGTTGGATAGAAGGTCTGTGACTGGATTCTTGTTTACTTTCGGCGACGCTATTATATTGTGGAGAAGTCGTCGACAAAAGACCACAGCACTTTCAACCACTGAAGCCGAATACATGTCTATTTCGGATTGTTCTCGACAGGCTATTTGGTTCAAGCAATTGTTTAACGACTTGGGTTTACCTGTCTCGGCGGTTTCTCTTGCTTCTATTGGTGATGCTATTCAACTATTCAATGATAATCGCGGAACTGTTTTCTTAACTAAAGAGCCTCTTGTGAATGAACAATCAAAACACATCGATGTGCGTTATCATTTCATCAGGGATCAAGTAAATTTGAAGCATGTTGTTACGTCTCATGTACCGACTACTGCGATGCCAGCGGACTTTCTCACCAAAGCCCTTACTATAGATATTTTTAAACGTTGCTGTGATCAGGTTGCTTTTGGGGAGTGCTCAAGTTAGGGGGGAATGTTGGTCAAGACGAATAGAGTGGTGTTTTCTTCTTATTTTCAAATCTGTTTGTTTCTTCTTTAGTGTAAAGCTTTACACATATTTGTATTGTTGCTATGGTGCTGATCTGTTTTCATTTGATATGTTGGTTATGTTTCTCTCTATTCTCTCTCTATCTTAACTCTCGACTCTCTTATCTTTTCCTATAAAGCCATCTATGAGTCTTGACAAGTTTTGATCTTCATCTCTTCAAACTTGTCATCTCATCACTTCACAAGCAACTCCTTACTTACGACGTATTTGCCTGTTCGTGATTGACTCATAGGTAAGCTTCATTATCATGTTTTCATTTCTCAGTCTCTATTTCTATTTTGTAGTGTCCTAGTGCGTGATTTTCTATGTGTCTGGAAATAAATTATCTATTCAAACTTGTCATCTCATCACTTCACAAGCAACTCTTTACTTACGACATATTTGCCTGTTCGTGATTGACTCATACCACCTCCTACCAGGAACATTTACTGGGCAGAGTTGTTAGGTGTGGTATGTGCGATCGATTACGGTATTAAACGAAACTCAAAGCGCATATTCATCAATTCGGATTTGAAATTAGTATGCGACCTGTTCAACTTGCACTGCCCTAATTGGATAGTGAGACTGTTGTTTTGCTACTGTGTTTCTCAGCTGTTGGATGCTAAGGCCGATGTAAAGGTCATGCACATTTCGAAAGATCTGAACACGTCTGCTGATGATTTGTCACGTCAAAGAGTAGATATCTCTGAGAAACAATTGGAGGATCTTAGAGTTCGAATAGACGCGGTATCAGTTTCATCATTTCGAGTTGATTCAAATCTGGCATCAGGGGGGTTAGAAGAAAATCTCTCTGTTCAAAATTTTTATTCAGGTTCCACAACATGGGTAAATCCAAAAAGAATTCGTCAATTGTGAACATTACTTTGGAAGAACTTCGAAAACTTTCAAATGAAGATTGTCGTTCTACGGTTGCGAAAGTATCATTAGCTAAGTACAAGTGTGGTTTTAGAAATTTCGCAAGATTCTGTACAAAATTTAGTTTACCTTTTATTCCGAATAGCAAGAATTTATGTGATTATGTTTCATACTCTAGTCGAATCATTTCTCCCAGATCAGTCCAAGCATATTTAGTAGGTATCGCCCATATATTTAAATTAAATTTTCCATCAGTTGTTTGTGAATCGAGAATTCAAGAGGTCATTGATACAATGAAACATTGTATGAAGAATTTATCAAAACCGGTAGTTAGGAAGAAAGCATTATCTGTGGAACAAATTGAAGAGGTAGTAAAGAAATCTTCAACATCTCATGACGATAAGCTTTTCTTGGCGATGTTGGGGTTGGGGTTTGGAGGTCTTCATCGTTTAGGGGAATTGTGTATTCCTGATTCAGAAAGTCATTACGATGAAAGAAAAGTTATCTTACGTTGTTCTCTTCAGTTTTCGCAGTGCAAAAAGTTTGTTCAATACCATCTCCCGTATTCAAAAGGCGATACAAAATTCATTGGAACACCAGTCATCATTCAATATTTCGAAAACACATCAGCATGCCCAATTTGTCTTTTAAAATCTTATCTTCGGTCGAGAGACATCAATTTCATATCATCTCCAGAACTATTCATCACATCTAAAGGTCTTTCGCCAACACGTTCATGGTTTTTAGAAAAATTTCATTCCTATTTTGACAAATCTTATTCAGGTCATTCCTTAAGATCGGGTGGTGCTAAAGCTTTAGCACAAGCTGGGGCAACCATGGACTATGCCAAAAGTGCTGGCCGATGGTCATCCAATGCGTTCCTTATTTATGTGCGTGGTCACGCAGCTCTCAGGTTGCCAGAAAATCAAAATCACGTGATTGGTCATACGTCTCACGTTGGATTGAAAGTTTCGTTCAAATAGTGAGTTTTATGTTTGGAATAGGTCAATGGCTTTTTAGCCTATATTCTTTTTTGGTTAATGGCTGTATAAAGCCTTTGGGAAAATGTTTAATGGTCTTAACCTTGTGCAAAAGTTTATGGCGTTTAGCCTGCATTGCTGGAATGAATTGTTTATGGTGTTTTTGGTGCATTTTACTGACAATATTGTTTACCTTCCTCTCCTACTTCACCACTCTTCTCGTACCCCGTTAGGCGGGTCAGAGAGGGCGTGTATGTTTTATTCTTCAAGTAATATTATCCCCCTTGGCTCAGGCCTTGGGATTCGCACCAAAAGTCTGTTTCATCTGGGTATGTTCATACCAGATAAGTAGTAAGTTTGACAACCCCATTTCACATTGTTCTGCCACAGGTACCTGGCCTTGGTTGTGATGCTCTTATGCATTCAGCTCACCCAAAGGAAAGTGGTGAGCTCTTAATCATCACCCCTTTATGAAAGGGACACATAAAGTAGTGATGATCAAGGGTTCACTGACTCAGAACCCTAGCACTGGCAGTACACAAACATCTTGACTTGGCCTGTAAACCTATCCACAAAACCCATGACAACCCCCCCCAAAACCCAAAAAACAATTGGGTTGTCATGGGTTATTTGGATGGTTTCTTCAGTTTGGGTTGAGATGTTTGTATACCACTACTGTTTCAAACTGAAAAATTGATTAATTATGTATCACACTACAAACACTTGAGGAGCAAGAGAAAGTGGGAATACCTGGGTACTGGCTGACTGGCTCTGTTCCATTCTTTTTCAAAGTGCTTTTGATTCCACATGTTACTAAACTCAATGAAATCAAGGGACTTATGAAAACAGACCTACTTTTGAGATGTGAGGGAAATGAGTTCTTGTAGGGGAATTTTGGCTTCATATAAAACTTTTTACCCCATTTGGTGTAATTTTGTGAAACAAAAAAGTTTTTTCTTTGGGCCTATGAGACACATTGATTTGTTGAGAAACAACAAGGACTCTGAGGAATCCTCCCTCTGCCTACTTTCCCTTGAAGTTTCAGGTTTCTGTCAAATTTTCCTTGTATTTGTACATATGTCACACCTGTTGCACTTCTGGAAATGATGCTCCCTAAAAACAGTACAGTAGCAATTAAAGATAGAAAAACAAAAAGAAGTGAACTTTGTACATGTCCTCACACCTAGGATTTATAATCATTTGGGTTTGGGACAAACCCTGACCCCGCCGCTGCAGAACTTGAATGATTACGTAAATCATTGGAGGGTACTGTGGAGTGTTGTGTGTACACTAGTGCTATGACCCGGCCCTGTACCTGGCCAGCCCACTGTGTCCAAGCGGTTTCTGAAGGCTGATGGTATATTGTGCCCTGACCCTTCAAACTACTGATGTGAGCCTCAAAATCCCTCCAGGCACATTGGGCAGACCAGGTTGCCGGGGTGCCCGCAGGGTTTTTCTCAACATGCAGCTGGATATAGCTGTACCCATTCTTCCAGCTGGGGGTTAGAAAGGAGGATCAAATGCCTGCTCAGCTCTGTGGAGTTCCTCAAGAAGTTCGAGTATATATGACTCTATACTTACACTGAATTCCTAATGGGCATGCTTGCACATAGGTGTATATAGAGGGTCAACACTTTCCTTTGCGCGTGCTAAATGCACAAAGGTGATTCCCAAACATCAGAGAAAACAAAGTTTTTTCAAGTTTTGAGCAACTTTTTTGAATGTTAGACAACAAATTCCCAGTCTTGATCAATGGCTGTCCTTTCCCAAGGTTATAGTATCCTATCATCTTTCAACATGTTTAGTGAGTGTTTTATGCAAATATGTGATTATGCACAAAAAAAATCCTCCAGCTTCCTCAATTGTGAGGCTTAGGCCTGTCTCAAGAGCTGGTTGAGCAATGAGCCTCAGCCAGAACTCTTGGCTGCATGTCTTTTGCACCCAAAATCAAGCCACACCCTGGGTTTCTAAGGTTGATCAGGGTGTGCCCTGGTTGACCCTGCTCAATTTTTGAAGGCTTGCGGGTCTAGTAACCTCGCCGTTTGACCTATAGTGATGGCATAAAGGGCGTATGAGTTTTGGTTTTAGATTCAGTTTTCAAAGCACGATATCTCACCGTTGTTTGGATAAATTGAAACACTTTTGGTGTATCCACATAGTAAGATCCACATAGTAGTGCTGTTGCTGAGTTCACGTTAACTTTGATTTTTTCCACCTTCAGTTGTTTCTTAAATGTTTGCTTTTGTTTGGTGTATTTCTTGCAGTAAACATGTGTCACATCTATTTGTTGTTTGCTTATCCAACAACTTCATCTCTCCTCAGTCCGCAGCGCTGACTGTTTCTTGATATATTCCTCTTGAGCATGCTCAGCTTGCTAGAAATCTACCCAATTATTTGAGCACGCATCTTTGTAACGCTTTGCCAATCATCAATAGCTTTTTTGAATTTGTTTATTTCCTACAAAGAAAAAGATGATAGAGGAGACTGCAAGACCAAACCCATCAAATATCGATCCACCTCATATACTTCAAGCACCAGAATGTGTTCACGTACAAGAGACTTCAGTATCTTCTCGATCCATTATCGACTTGTCCTCTATGCCAGTAGAAATCAAAGAATTGATTGTCGACTGGGTTCGTCGTCTTTCAGAAAGCAGTAAGTTTGATAAAGATGACCATACTGCTTTACAATCACAAAATCATCAACATCATCAACCAGATCAACCCCCACTGAATCTACATACTCTTACTCTTCAAAAGCCGATGACTCAGCCGCTGTCCGATCGCTCGCATTAGTCAACCGTTTGTTTTACGAAATATGTTGTCGCCACCTCTTTAAGGCAAGTTTCTCTGTTGTCAAGGATGTGATTTGCTTGGAGTTTGGCAAGCCAACACCATCATCATCATGATATTAATTCTTTTCGATCCTCCTTCCAGGTGATTAATCTCAAAGTTGAGCCAGTCAAACATTTACTCCGCGAACTGCCGAATTTTCAAACACACTCGAAGCACTTAAGGTTGTTTGTGTGGAGGGTCTCATATGCAGAATTATTGGAAGATGACATGTTCATTGAAGGGCAGCCAGACACCTGGAATGAAGACACACGATCACAGTGGGATTCAAAGGCTCGATCTGAACTCTTCCTCTCGATCTTACACACTTGTCCTCGAATCGACGGACTTAATATCGATCTAGACCCATTTGAATGTATCACTGAGGATTCTAGTTCAGACAAAGAAGTTTCAATGTGGTGTTATGACAAGAACATGATGAATAAGTTTATCGGACCTATCACTCAACTCTCATCACTTGTCGACCTTGAACTCATGTCACCTTTGGGTCGACCTTTTTATTGCGAAACGTTCTTAGTCAACATCATCTCAAACTTACGTAAACTCCAAAGTTTCGCTTGCCGCAGGATCAGTGCAAGTGCTCCAAACACCTCGATTGATCAAGGAGCCTGTCAATCTCCACTCGGCCTTCAACTCGCCTCTCTTCCTGATCTGAAACGGCTGTATCTAGAGAGCGCAGATTGTTTTGATGCCAGCTGGACTCGACTTGAATGGAGAGGTCCAATCAGCGACCTGTATTTCGGTGCTTGTGATCGAGCCTCCATAGGCGTCTTGCACGCTTTCACCAAACTCTTTACATCTACTTTAAAGGAATTTCGCTTGAACGCTGTAGCTCAACATGCAGATTTGAATACTGATTTGATCTCACAGGCTATCCTAGCTGGAAAGCTCGTCTTCGAATTACCCAAACTCAATGCCTTGCAAGTATCCAACTGTCTTGACATGCAATTGTTAAAGTCCTTTGAGGCTTCGAAGAATTTATCCGAAATCGATTTATATGAAACTCCAATGTCACTTCAATCAGATGTAACAACATTGCTTCAGTTATGGCCTAAGCTGAAAGAGTTAACTATTTGGCATTCAACAGCTTTCAAATCGGCGCCTGATGTGGATAGATTGATGCAGTTGGCTGACAAAAAAGGAATCAAGATGCGTCTTGAGAGTAATCTCAATGATTACTACTACGACAAGTTAACTTGGTGATTGTAGCGAGGCTGTTTCTGATCATGAGGCTCTCAACAAGGTCAATGACTGAGATCCTGGTGATGACAATGACGAGGAGCCCGATGAGGACGAAGATCAAGTGTATTTATTGGTTAAATTTTGGTGTGGAATGAAGTAAGAACCATGAAATATATTCAGTTTTCTTGTAATGTGTTGTAGGATTTTATAATTCAGTTTCGAGAAGAGCTTTCTATAGTGAGACATTGAATTAACATTCAAACTCAAGTTGTATACAAAATTGTGGACTCATTCACTCAGAACCAATCCTATGGATCATAGCTGTAAGCGGATCAAGGAGTGAATTCACAACCGCGCTAAGATTTTAGTATTTCAATCGAGCTAAGCAATAAAAGACAAACCTTTCATTGATAGCACATAGATCTTTTGGTTCAAAGGAATTCATGAGTTAAAAATCAATTTCATTGTCAATTTAAAAATAAAAATCTATAATATTTAAGAACACTAAAAAAAACTTGATTAGTGAGAAGGGATAGTGAAACAAGTGTTCATTGGACACTAAGGAATGCAAGTAACTAGACTGAGCAGGAAAGTTTGTTGTGAGTGAGAGATGAAGAAACGAGAAGGTGAATCGTAAGGTTAAGACTTATAGGAATAACATGTTAGAAAGTAGTGTTGAGTGAAGATTGACAGCCATCGATGGTTTGTTTATTACAAATCATGAATGGTTTATATCTTGAAGATCTAATATGAGCGTGACAAAGTATCAAGAGAGATGATGATCATATAGGGTAAAAAACAGATTACATGACGATGGTAGGCTCAGTAATTGAGGCAGAGATAGACTTGTGTGGTAAGACTGTTCAGAAAATGTTAAGAATCAGCGTATGAAACGAAGAGATCCGATTTGAGCAAAGAGATGGCTCACCAGAGGCACCATTGACAAGTAGTTCGTCTTTGATGTTCACATCATCACCTAAGATGGTGGTATTGTCACATCGAACCCATCGGCCAACAGTCGAGTTCCATCCGATACTGGAAAACACAAGCATGGATCAGTCTTAAGAGGCAGTTCAATCCATTCAACAAAAGCCTACTCACATTGAGTTCTTGACCCATGAGTGATCCTTGACCCGCGAAGCCTCCATCAACACACATCTTTGAAGTCTTACACCTTTACCGACCACACACTTGGGTCCGATCACCACATTGGGACCGATCATAGCCGTAGGATCGATGACGGCAGTAGGATGAACGAGTACATTACCACTGACTACCCATTTCTCTTGTTGATGTTTTGTGATTTGTGGCTCGCCCATTGAAGTAAGATGAGTAAGATATAAACAAGTACCCGAAAGAAAGTCTTTAGGTTGACCAATGTCCATCCAAAAACCTTCAAGGTCCATACAATGTAATTGAGATTCTCGAACCATTGCAGGGAAAGTTTCCTTTTCGATCGAAGTAGGTTTGACTTCGATACGTTCCAAGACTTTAGGACTGAAGATATAAATACCAGCATTGATTCGATTACCAACAAAATCGACTGGTTTTTCAACAAATCGATCGATTTGAGTGGTGTTTGGAACTTGAACTACTACACCATATTTCGATGGTTCATCAACTTTGGTGACCATGATCGTACCTTCTTTTCCATGAGCTTGATGGAAAGAAGCAAGTTGTTTGAGTGGGTATGAACAAGTGACATCTGAGTTGAGTACAAAGAATGGTGAATCATCTTTTCCGAGAATGTCTTTTGCAAGAGCAAGCGGACCAGCTAAGCAGAATGATCGAGAGTAAGTTTGGGTTAGTTGATGATTCGATGGGAAACGGTGATCTAAAGCTTTCACTGACCAGTGTCTAATGGCTCAGTTTCTACACTGAAAGTGATTCGAATTCCATACTTCTCTTCTGTATCTTTCAAAACTGCCACCATCACCTCAGGTCGATAATTAACAGCCAAAACAATTTCATCCACACCAGCCTGAAACAGATCAAAATCAAAAGTAACATTGAAGGTAAGAATAATGATACTTTGAAAAATCTAAAAATGATATGAATGAGACTGAGACTTACGGCCACTAGGGCTTCGATTTGATGAACGATCATCGGTTTGTTGCAAAACTCAACCAATGGTTTTGGTAAAGTCAAAGTCAAAGGACGAAGTCTAGTACCGAATCCACCGACAAGAATGATAGCCTTCATTATTTTTAAATAGGATTGATTTGAGAGAAACAAGAATTGAAATTGATTAGGTAGGTTTTTAGGAAGTATAAGTTGTGTGATGAAGATTGATTTTGATTTTAAACAGATTGAGACTCTGAAGGATGATGAGGGAAGGAGTTGAAAGAGTGAAATGATAGCTGAGTATTTATGTCCTTTGTGTGAATCTAGATTCAAGAGGTGATTAAAGCAAAGTGGATAGAAGACACGTTTGACGATTGAGTTTGGAAAGTACAAACAGGGCTATTCAAGGGTGTATCGGGTGTTTAGTCAAGAGAAATCAGCAGGGATTGGAAATTTACAAAAAAAAGGATCCTTTTGAATTAGAAAGTGTAGCATGAGATAGATAGACAGATACAACCATAAATGAAGAATACTCACAAATCAAAATCAAATCAAAATGGTAAGATGATGACGTGTATTAACCAAAAGAAAGCCTTTCAAGTCATGAAGTACACACATGCTGTCATCGGTGATCATTAACATCACTAGAAATTACAAACTTCTCTCAAAGAGTTTATTTTCTCAATTCTCACCGCTTTTCTCGGTACAAATCATCCTTTGATCTACAGACTCTCTGAACCTCACGTTTTACGAGACAAAAGGAGCACATCCATACTCAATTATCGATTCACTCGGCTCTCGAACCTATGTATGTCCAGCACCTAAAGCATGAATCCATACTTGCCCATAAGCTATGGGCAACATTTCAACGTGCTTCTACATAGGTTGATTTGTTTGTACATAATCTCTCGTTTGATTTATGCAACACAGTCTGTCTTTGAGAAAATCACCGCGCACGCAGCGGGATATCAAGAAGTACACGAGTCGACATCATCTTCCAATCGGTACGACGTGCATGCAAGATACATATGTGTCCGATCGTCCCAGTTTGGTTTCATTTAAAATTTCAAAGAGTTTGACAAAATGACAAGATGATAGAACAGAGACCTGATCAGAACTGACGATGAAATGTCGGTCAAAAGAAATTCATGAATCTTGTGAATCATGATCTTTCCTTTGTGAATTTATCGTTCGGATTCGATCAAATATTGAACTCGAGTCATTTTTCAAATAAGTATGGTGCCACTTGACTTGATGGATTTGACTGATATACAGTATCTTGAGTGAAAAACATCATATGTAGCTTGATGATCATGCGACGTCTTAAGACTTTACAGGCATTGATGATTTCATTTCATGAGTTCATCGTCAAGCTCGTCATCTCGGGATCGAGCTTGTAAAACATACTCGCTCATAGAATTCTGAACGATCTCTAAGATTCGTTTGTACAATCACGAGTAATTAAGAGTCAAGAGCAGAAGTGGGAATATGTAGGTGATATGATTGGATCATAGTCAGGAACTTCGGTCATGAAAACAATCATAACAACTTACCCATTGCTGGGGTTAAGCCAATTGATAAGCTACTCGGATCCTCCTGAATCCTCGGCTTCAACTCAAGATTTAGATTGCAGAATGAAAGTCAAGGTCGAATGGACACATGATTGTTTGTGCTGAAATCGTTGAAATAGGTTTGCCTATACACAACACTCCCCTGCAAGCTGCAGCTATGATAAGGCGGATCAAGATACAGTCATTTAAGAAGAGCTTGCCCCAAATTCCCCGCCAATTCGCTTGAGTTTTGCGGGCAATTTGGGGCAAGCTTTTCTTAAATGACTGTAAGTAAACCAAAGGAAGTATGGAAAAGAACGCATGTGAAACCATGGAAATCGAATTCCTTTTGCCCTGTGAGCATGTTGAACTTCTGGTTCTTTGAGTTACAAATCCGATAAAAACTTACCATTCCTTCGGAGTTAACAACCTAAGAAAGAAAGAAGTGGTAAAACCATGTATACACTCATATTGAAAATTCATTACTTTCCTTTGAAGCATCCAATTGACAGTCAAATGTGCAGTTTGACCTTTAACATCTTACCGGGAATAATTTTCAGATCTAGCGTCATGACTAGAGAAATGAACAGATTGAAGAAAGATTCCTCCCGGTACATCAAATATATCGTTCTGTTATTTACAGTCATTTAAGAAGAGCTTGCCCCAAATTCCCCGCCAATTCGCTTGAGTTTTGCGGGCAATTTGGGGCAAGCTTTTCTTAAATGACTGTACAAACTTTGGAACTCAACAGGCAGAACCTGGCAGTGGTAGAATAGGCAGTTTCGCGTTTAGACACAAATGGGGAATTTCAGGTTGGATATTCAAAATGATGATAATTAGATCTTTTATCTTGGATTGATTCGGTGATCGATTACACAGCTTTTTTTCTTTCTGATCAGTTATCTTGAGCAACATGCTGTCATAAACTCAACAATTTAACACTTTGAACCGAGCTCTGTGATGGGTAGTTGTAGTAAAAAACATGGGTAGTTGTAGGAAATATGCGTACAAACGCTGTGCTGTGTGCAATGAGTGCCTTTTTCAGACCATATTCCTCAATGATTTGCTCCAAAAGAAGCTATATTGATTCAATTCATAGCAATACAATAGCAATGTTACTGGAATCTAACAACTTGCAAAGTGATGGATAAAAACCAGGCATAGACGCGGGTCTCAGACTCACAACACTTTTGGGTAAGTTGAATTCCGCAAGATAAGGATTTTATGCCGCTGTAAAGTTAATTTTCAAAACGTAAGAAAGATGGAATAAGAAGTCAAACATCAACAAGCTTGGTAGCGGCTGCTCATGCTACCTTCAAAGATCCAAACTTTGGTGAGTTTGTCCGCCAATCAAAAGAAAGCTGTGCCCGGAGACTCCAGCAAGTTGAGGCTGAGCAAGTTGGGTATGCTGAGCTTTACTTCGAAGGACTTGAAGATTGGGGGTTGCCAATGAGATACAACATGATACAACGACAATTTCTAGTTGCCCGCCCCAGTTGCGTGAGCATCCAGTTGCCCTACTCAGGGAAAAGATGTCACTCGTACTTCTTAACATGTCACTCCTAGTACATACACCATTGGGTGTTCGATGAGTGTTGACTAGGTGTTACCAACTGAGTGACAGAGATCTTGAACCCCCTAGTCAACCACCTTCAATGGTTGTTGACTGTTGCCACCACTGCATTAACCCCAACTCAACACTTCATTCACCACCCGTTCAACCCACACTATCCTAATCACCTATTCAATACATTCACGATGGCCCTGCGAAAGCTACAGGTTAGTGATCTCCAGTTCTTGATCACTTGGATGTCCTCAACCACCTACAAATCACTCATGCTGTTTCGCTTCCTCTCATTGATTGTCAGGCCGATATCGATCGCGTGCTCAAACTGGTTCAACAAGGTGTCACTGCCTTCGAAGAGACCTTTGACAAGATGACGCATGCTACCAACCAGACTTCTAAAGACAAAGCAGAAGCCGACCTCAAAACTTCTATCAAGAAGCTTCAGCGACAGAGAGACCAGATAAAGACCTGGCTTCAGAGTAACGACATCAAAGACAAGTCGTGCCTTATGGATCATCGTAAACTGATAGAGACTGTAAGCGATCATCATACATGGATCTCTAGTGAACTGTCCAGATTACCCTCGTTATAGCTCCATCGTTTGATTAGTCAAACTGTAGACTCATCTACATCAAACACAATCACCCCTTGCCTCTCTGTCGACCCTTGTGGTCCTTATTCAATTCCGCCTTCATTCACATCTTGATAGAATCGCTTCTGACATGAATCACCCTTTGCAGCAAATGGAACGTTTCAAAGCTTGCGAAAAAGAGATGAAGACAAAAGCTTTCAGCAAGGAAGGTCTTAGCGCCCAGCAGAAACTGGATCCGAAAGAGGTGGCCAAGATGGAAATGAGCCATTGGGTCTCAACAGTTGAGCTCCAACCCATCACTAGCTTTTGTATATACCTTTGTCTGATTCCTCAAACTGGATCCATTTCCTACAGATGGTAGATGAGCTAGGCCAACAGATTGAGCGGACAGAAGCCGAGGTCGAACTGCTACGAAGTCAGACGAAGAAGAAGAAGGCAACTGGGACTGACGGTCGGGGGCCTGAATTGGAAGCTCTCAATGATCGTCGGCGATGGCACATTGGCAAGCTGGAATTGATTATGCGACTTTTGGAAAACGGTCAGATCTCACCCGAACGAGTAGGCGAAGTCAAGGATGACATTCAATACTATGTTGAATCCAACACTGTATGTTTTATCCCAATTTAGCTGATTCATTCTTCACCAGCCCCTTGTTCTGCTTCTCATCATCACAGCTCGGCGACTTACCCCGCCACTTGATCACAGGAAGAAGACTTCACTGAGGATGATGATCTTTATGAGTCTCTTAACCTACAAGAAGAAGAAGAGCAATTCGGCATGCATGATGATCTCCTGTCTTCACACGACACGAGTTCAATAATTGAGGACGGCAATTCGACAACGGTCAAGCTTGACCTTACAGGGGCCAATCGCAGGCCAAGCGGCAAAGGGCACGCTGACGACTCCGGGGAAAAGAGTCCCAGCAAAGAGAAAATGCCTCTCGCCACCGGTCAGCTACTTCGTGGACCAACTGTCAGAAAGGCTACCCTTGAATCTGGTACGGTCAGGCCCACAATTCTTCCTGGTCGGACAGGTGTTGTTACAGGAATGGTTGTATCTTCAGCAGCCGCACCCCGAGCTACACCAGCTGCTCTCCCGTCTTTGCGCTACGCGAGTGCGGCAGCGGCAGCAGCAGCGTCTCCCGCTGCGAACGGCGGACCCTCAAATGGCCCATCGAGTATCAAAAGTCCCGGATCTGTTCCTAATACTCCATTGCGCTCTGATTCGATATCGGCTGTTGCACCTCCTCTCTCTTCTGCCAATGCAACCAACGGGCTCTTTTCTACATCGCCGAAAAAGCAATCGTCACAGCTTCCTCAGAGACCTTTCGCGTCAGTCGCCTCACCTGAAGCACAGAAGTCGCTGCCGCTTACGTCCTCTCAAGAGGCAAGTGCACAATCCACCCCATCGGATTCTGACCACTCTCCGGATATTCAAGATTCCAACTCGAACTCACAGATATCCAATGCTGGGATCAGCAGCACCTCAATAGTTTTGAACCCATCTGGACATTCAACTCAGTCTGCGCAGTCAACTCAATCGGTCGGGGGCGCCGCTTCCAATCAAGAAGTTGAACGTTCCCCTAGTCCATCCAGCTCCTCTGTTTCAGCTGGATCACAGCAACTTCTGCCTGACGGAAGTCGGCCTGAAATACCATCTGGATCTTTTGACACGCGTTCCCCGGCCGCTAATTCCCCGCCCACGCGAGTTCCAGTGGCTGAAGCCGACCCATCTTCTGCCTTCCTGGATGACCTCACGCAACAACTCACGGATGGTACAAATCGTCAGTCTCACGCCTCCCATTTGCCTGGTAAGACCAGCTCTTTGGATTCATCTCAACGCAGCAGTGGTGGAAAGGCCACAAACCGGGGCGAAAACTCAGATCAACAGCAACATCGCCACATGTCCTCCGATCACAAACATGTTTCGTCTTTAGCAGATCTGGTAGAGACCTTTGAAAGCTTGAAAGCTCACGAGCCCAGCATGATGGAAATGCATTCGATCTTAGACTCTGGCCTCTCGAGCATTCCTCAAATTGAGGATGCTGAGAAACCAAGTTATTATGCTCCCCGTAACCCATATCCGACAAGCTCACATTATCCTCAGCAACCGATGGCTTTTGAAAAACGACCTGCGATCTGGGGTGAAATCGAAGTTGAAGTATTGTTCTACCTCTTCTACTATCATCAAGGAGGGTATCTACAGTAAATCTTTCTTCACTTCGATAACTCTGACCGTGGAGTAAGCAAGAAAACTAACGTGACGTTAACTACCATGATAAAGGTACTTGGCAGCTAAGGAGCTTAAAAAGCGTGCGTGGAGATTTCACAAGTACTATCTCACTTGGTTTCAGCGGGCCAAGAACCCAGAGGAGATGGCAGATGATTATGAGAAAGGGTCTTACACGTATTTTGACTGGGGTTAGAGCTTTTTATACATCGTATCTCTCTGTTTCCCGCCTCTTGCCTGGATCGAGTTTGCTGACGTGAAGAATATAATGATATTGTAGAGGCTGACTGGCTGATGAGGACGAAAACGCCGTTTCAGTTTGATTACAAGGTCAGTTTTCATCAAGTTTTGTTAATCTAAAGATGCTAATGTGATGGACTTTTCAACTTTAGCATCTGGAAGACTCACTCTGAGATCATCGATAGGGTGAGAAAGAGTGAACCTGTTTTTTTTTTGCTTTACTGATTCTTTCATTGATGTATTAGTCATACTTCTTTTGATTTCAAATTGGAAGTTTATGTTCTTTTGTTCTTGATTGAACTCTTATAGGGTTCAGAGAGTGTTTTTTAGGGAGGAATGATGAAATGCAATTTACTCCCATCTCTTACCAAACAAGTTTGTCATTGGTGACCACTAAGACGGATCACACAATGACATAGGATGGTTCTGTGAAGCCACAAGATCAGTTTGAGCTATATGAATTGAATTCATACTATGACTAGAACATGGTCGGCGCGACGCTCGCCTATTTGTTTCAAAAGTGCCAATCCTGAGCTATTTTCCTTAACATACATGTGAGATATGAGTATTACCCTGACTTGAGAGGCAATCATAGCTTACAAAGAAAATCAAGATGGAAATTTTCCTGAAGATCCAATATTCATTTCAGGCGGTACTACTACATATGTATGTAACTTTTTCAAAACTCTTCACAATCCCTTCAAAGCTCACATTGCTCAAATTTTGGTGGCCTGACTTAACTAAGCCTCATGCTTGTTCTGAGCCGGTGTGTGGTGAGGCATGTGTTAAACTCAAGCTAGGGTCTTTTGTACATAGTCACTTGATATGTACTACTCTTCAGTATTTCAAGATGAAGGACATCTTGAGCAAAAAAGACTCGATGTGAGGATATGAATTCAGTTTTTTGGTATCAATGGACTTTGCTTCTACATATATGTTTAATTACCTCTTTTGAGGATGATCATTTGTCCTTCACTCATCTTGAGTCTCTTTCTATCATTCAATACGATTCCTCACATGCCAGAGACGTAAAGTAGGTAAATGATAAGTCTGGTTACTCTTAACCAAGCATTGGATTGGCATACAAGCCCGCTTCATCATGTGGTTCAACTGATTTAGAGTTGCAGGAACTGATAATGTAAAAAAATATTAGGATCTATGCATAAACTGTTAACAAAGGATCTGGAAGAGTTGTTTTTCCCTATGAAGAACAATGTATAGCTCCGATTAAAAAATCCTTGAACACACGAAATCATTGGTATTGTTGACATTTGCATCGAGATCGCAGGCACCAAATAGAAAATATGTAGGCGGTAAATAGCATGAGCTTATTAATCTGATATTGAATTTCTATTACTGAATGAAATTAAAAGTAAGATAAAAGGAAGATGACTGTGAGTTTGATTAAAATTGAAAGATTGAAGAGAAAGGTTCATTTGATGAATCCACAATTCACTAATTGGTAATCTCAAGAGGTTCACCCTTTGGCTTCCGTACGCGCGGCTTTCGCGCTCTAATATCAGTACTTGGGTACCTCAATGGTTTGATGTTTTTCATTTTAGTTAACAACGTTTTGACCCCTAATGTTTCAGCTTTCTTAGGCTTCAGAATTTGGAGCCAGTTCTTCCGTTTCTCACTCATGAATCGCATCACGTAAACGGTGGCGACGTGTTCCCGTGTTGGCCTATACATTGGATGAGAGAGCCAGAAGACGGTACCTTCGTGTATGGAAGTTGAAGCTGCAACAGAAAATTTCTCAACGAAGGCATATTCGTCGTGGACTTTTCCGACTGGTTGAGCCCTATCCCGAAGAGGGTACCAATCTAATTTGATCCCTGGAATGTTTTTCCACTGTTCCGCAATCCAATGATGAGCATCTTCAAGATCTTGTTCCAAATCTGTAGATATACGCTTTGAAGAAATCATTTTAGAACAACTGGCGATCATCTCCAAGTAATTATCCCAAAGTTTTTCCATATTGTCGGTCACATGTTTCGTTTGAAGCGGGTCAGGTGCCTGAATGGATATTGATTCCATGAATTCTAGAATTTCAGGTTGGAATTTATCAATTATATCGCGAGGTGAGATTGAATGATGATTGACAAAGTTCAACTTGACTTTTGCTTGAGGTAATGTGTTTGTCGAGCGAAGAGATTTGGGAAATCTAGGTATCCTTTCTGAATACATTGATGTCTTCTCGTTCAATTTTTCATCAGGCCAGGTTCTTGCGTGATACGTTTCGATATCCATATCTTTGGAGTGCGTTGAGTCAAAATTTTTGGATACAGTTTCATGTTCACGCGGTTTTTCGAAGCCAAAATTTAACCCAGAGCGCCATCCAACAGTAGGCCTGGGTTTATTTGCTACCAAGGAGGTCCACGGGCTTGGAAGAGTGGATGAGTCCGTAGTATGAATTTCGGTAGCTGGGGATGTTGAAAATCCTCGTACTTGACTGATGGATCTGTCATGGTCATCAAATGAGAAAGGATCATGACGAGTTTTTTGCTTGGAAGGTTGAGAATCGAGTTGATCAGTTTGACTAGGGCGCTTGAGCTGTCCTGATCTTGAAGAGCTTTCTAATATATCTTGAATAGGTAGCTTTTTGTTGTGAGAGGTCGTGATGTGCATGTCTTGGTTCAAATCCTTTTCATCTAGACTCCTCACAAGAACAACGTCAGTTTTAGGTATTCTCGACATGAGTCCAAGTAGAAATTCGGAAGGAATTTCTGGACAATCGAAAGACTTCTTGAAAAGAGAGAAAACGATACCTGAATCAGCCCGATCTATTTCCATTTTATTGTTTTTCCATTCAACGAGTTTCGAGCTTGCGGTACCATCTGAGTTCTCGACGTCACTCGCGTCTTTGGAATTCTTCCGTGATTCAGTTTCGAGAGAGGCACTCGGGGTCCTTTCTGACCAGGCGCTATGTTCTTCAGACATAGCTGGAAAGTGCGTATGAAGATCCGTAGATAATTCTCCAAAGTTTGGCAAGTCGTCCAAGGGCGGTATTGAATCGAGCTCGCGGAGAGTTGAGTCGAGTGGGATTGAAGATTCTCGGGAGCTGTAATCCGCAAACTGAGGGTCAGAGAAAACTGTCATGCTTGGTCAAATCCGATATCAAACACTTACGATTCTAAAGACCTGGCTGACCCTCGTTTGGTCTCTGAAATAGGTGACAAGGGCTTGATGTTGTGAGATGTGCCATGGGTGAGATGCTCGAGATACTTTTCAAAACTCTCAAGTCCATGTGAGACTGGAGAACTAGGGGACAGGGGATGCGGCTGTGATGAAATATCATGTGGAATTGATATACGTTCTCCGTGGAAGGTTTGAGACTCGGGGGAGGCCAAGGTGTCACTGTCACTTACGCCTAGGTCATGACCTACATGGCGTTCTGGAGAGCCAATCAGAATTTCGTCGAGGAAGCGATAGTCTGATGATGATTGCGAGGACTGAGTTGAAGGGATATTCGAGAAGGCCGGAGGTTTTTGAATGTGATCATGTTGTGATAAGGCTTCCATGACCTGCGCTTGCGAGTCACTGCTACTCTCAGGGTTACTTTCGTGAAGGCTATTCATCTGAAAGTCTTCATTGTGTAGAGCTCCACTAGGGGTGTGCTCGGAGAATGACGGGGGAACAAAAGAATCCAGATGGGACATTGAATTTGTATCTTTATACAATGTAGTGTCTAGACCTGGCGATCCAATCGTGGCGAAATCATGATAAGACCTTGCTGGAGACGAAGACGACGTGTGAGGACTTGATAGAAGGTAGTGATGTAATTCCTCCAAAGCTGGTATCGGGACTAGGTTGGTCAGTTCATTGAATACGTCGTCCTGTGACAAATCGCGATGGTGAGCATGTTCATGTTCATGTTGGTGTTCTCGTGATGATTTTCTGAGTATGTCCAAGGCTTCTAGCCGATTGTCGGGAAGACTTGAACTCTTTTAAGCCTCGGGTGCATTCCACTCGCCGCTCCCGAATAGGTCTTCGAGCCCTGTCCATTCTCCAAACATGTTCTTATGGGCGTCCGATGGAGGAAGATTTGACAAATCGGTGTCACGCCATGGAGATGCTATCGGCGAACCTGAAAGGAATTCGTGGGACTGGATTTCTTCTCCTTCCTCCTGGAATATTGAACGCTGTTCGCGATTCTCGTCTGCGCTCCACCGATTATCCATTGATCCATCGCGCGTGTTGAAGACATCTGGATGGTCTTGCCCAGAAGTGGTCGTATATTTTTTGTCGATTAAGGAGTCGCCGTGTTGATTGAGTGGCAGATCCCGAGGTTCTGCCAGATGGGACCACGATTCTGCCGAGTTTGCCGGAATGGTTGAAGCAAAGTGGGGTGCATCCCAAACGTCCATCGCTGCCAGTAACATAGGCCAATGCAACATCAAGGCCATCATCCAGCATAACTTCTTGTTGAATAGATCCATGGTTGACTGCCTTGATGCTTCACCAGAGATACGCGTGCTGTTTGTGGGCTCCCCTTATACGCTTTTTTGACCTGTGGGTTCCGGTAACCCAATGTGGTCACCCAAGTGCTGCCCATACCACAAAAAATCCTGTGTCATCTCAAGTACTGCTCAACTAGTTCAATGACCAAGTAGTCTCGGACAGCATCAGCACTTTGCACATTTCATCAATACAGTGAGCTCACTTATGATTAAGAGCGGATACCTCCGATGTTCTGGTCTCTGTCGGAGAATCTTCGACGATTTATCCCATAAGTAGAAATCTCTTCCGAGAGGCTTGACCCACAAAAGGATTCGAGGAGGAAAGGAGAGAACTAAAAACATGATACATAGGATTTTAAAACATTTCTTTGTTACTGGCCTGCAAATACTTCCAACACGTATCATCTGAATATGTCACAATGTGATTTGACGACTCAAGATGAAGAAATATTTTCAAGGCGAAGGATATACAATCATTCTTGACAGCATCCGCGATGATCATTGTTTTTGAGAGAAGATCTTAAATGCTCCCGCCGCCATCCCCATACATAGTCGTATGTAGATGTGCTCGCAGCTTTGTGCTCTTATATTCGTCTCTTTCTCTGAGCAGTCTTGTCAGCTGAATGAAGACCCTGTTGTGGTAATTAACTGTGTACGAGTCTTTTTCTTCTTTACTTAGAATGGTCAAGGACTTCCGGTTATTCATGAGTGTAGTGTGTATCAAAGAAGAGGTCATTGACTTTATCGAAAATTAACTTCTAAGAAGATGTGTACGGATCAAGGTGTTACGAGTTATAGAAGATCGTGTTGAGAACTAATTAGGGTGTCTACTGTTTCTTTTGGGAATAAGTCGTGTGTGACTTGAGCGTTTCTTTTGTCTATTTTATTATTTCATTTTAGGTCAGTCTTGTCTGTGTTGGCCTTAAATAGTTGTTATCTTTCATCACTCAGATTCTTTTCTCCTTATCGAAAGGAATCTGTAAGTCATTTTACTTTATATTTTTATTTACAATATCTCATTTAACTTTACTCTTTAAATCATCCTTTAGTTTTACAACCTTTTTACTCACTTTCATCTTATTGACCGTACCGTGATACCTGTTGCATTGCACAGGTTTGTTCAATCTCTTTTCTCTTTTATTCTTCTTTTACTAACTGTTGTGTTGTTCTAGGTGTGTCTCATTGTTGAGAAGCTCTTTGTAGCTTGTTGTTGGCTTGTTGCCTTTACTTACGATTACCTGATTACCCCAGGTACAATTCATTACCGGCAACGCCCAATAAGCTCCTTCGAGCCCATCAACTTCATTCTTTACAGACCCTTTGTCATCTACTTGTGAAAAATTGATTACTGCTATGAAGTTCTAGACAATCCCGGGTGTAAGGAAAACAATACTTGAACATATTTTGGGGTCCATTGAAGATAATGTCTGAATCCGCAAACTGGACAAGGGTGGCCTCAAACAGCCACAAAACTTGAAGGTCTAGAATTCCACATGAGGAGGAGCATCATACCTTCATGATTTCACACCTCACTGAAAATATGTGAGGCACAACCAGAATAAAATGAGTATTCGGCTCATCTGACTGCAAATGGTGTTTTGAATGGACCAATAACCCACTTTTGAGGCAAGAATGTCATAAATTGTGAAAACAACGCATTTCAGTAATAGCAAAGCCATGGAATCTGTGGCTGGCCTCTATGGCTGGAGCAAAGTAGCAGACAATCTGCTCCACCACTCAGCTCTAACAGCACCAATTACGCGCTGTCTCTTAAGATTGCCAGATATTATCAATGACCTGACTTCATGTATAATTGTTGTCTATCATTCAAATGTTGATCTGCCTGGGTTTTTGATTTGAACTTGGGCTGGTATCCAGACTATTTTAAATGATGTACCCCAGCTGAGGCTGCAAAGCCTTGGCAGCCCTGTGATCTGTAGTCATCACTAATCAATATCTGAATAAAGAAGGCAAAAACTCTTCATCAGAAAACATTGATGTGAGGATCTGAATGCAATTTCCTTTGATACAGCCTTCAAGCTCTCCATATAAATGTCTAAATGCTTTGGATGATGCTGGCCATTTGTGCTTCACCCACCATGAATATGTTTTTAACATTTCATCCAATTCCTCACATACAAGATAATTATTTCAATGATAAATTTGGTCTACCTTAACCCAGCATTAGATGGGTGGGAAACCCTCTCATTATTTAACTGTTATATAAGAGTATCAATGGACATGGTCGCAAACACAGGGTCATGCGTTGCTCCGCTGGTTGAGAATTGAATTTATGATTTGAAAAAGGAGGATTAAGTCTCCCATGGGCAATCATAGATGGTTGGCTTGGAGAAGATGTGGATGGCTGGAAAACAGGAATGAATTATGTATTTGCAACAATCAAGGCACAGTATAACAAAGAGATTATGAGGAAGTTCTCAATGCCAAACACTAGTAACCTGGAATATCTAAATGAAAAGGTGGATTCTGTTCCATGCATATTCTAGTTTTTTAATATAGCATAATGACTGACAGATTGAACCCCTGCCAGTTCAATCAACCACAAACTATACGAGACATGAGGAACTCCAGACATTGGGTGGCAAGTTGATGGAAATGGTACTTGGAATTTGATGCTCAGTTGGAGATGTTATCAAATCTTTTCAATTTTTCATTCCTATCAATGCATTTACTGTTGTGTAATTGAAATCATACCCAGTGAGAGGTCAATGATATATTGAAGTTTACTACGTCAAATGATCAATTATGTAATGGGTAATGGAATGGAATTGGCAATGGTTAAATGCGTCAATATCTTCTCATACGTTTTGACCTAAGCTCCTATTGATGTTTTCTATGATTTAACTTCTCTCTCTCTTTATGATTTATGTTTTCTCTCTTTCTTGATTTGTTCTTGTATCATTTTCTCTCATTTCATTTATTCTCAATTTCTCTATTTTACACATCAAAGATATCTAGGAAAACAACAACTACTAGATCACCACGACACATAGTCTCGTTGATAGTAACTGACTGCAGGAGGAGTCTGCTACCTATCTATTGTTTTCAGGTAATTAGATTCTTTGATGGTTGCTAAGAAAAGAATATAAAACATATGTATTAATGTTTCTTATTGTAGACATAGTAGGGATCATCCAATATTCCTAGAAGTCACTTACACTCACCGAGTTCTTACTAGTGTTGATCTTATATTAGGTATTGATCATTGTCTACATGTCTCTTTTAAAGTCTGTTTTATTTCTTTTACTAACGTCTTATATTAGTTGTTTGAAATCTATATATGTGATTGTTGCTGCAATAAAGACATAAAGATCTCAAAAGCTTTCATTTACCTGTGTGGATCAAATGGAGAAATTAGAATCAAACCATAAACCATCATGGCCTTAGGTTTTTGAGGTGTCTTCAAGTGGTTCATATGATATAAAACATGTTGAAATTGATTCCTGGTTAGAAGACACCAACAGTGGAGGTAACTGTTCCCACAAGACCACACAACATCCCTCTCTCCTCTGAGGGAGTTGATATGTGCGTTTTAGAAAGCAAACACAATACAGGCACACCTGTCAGTTATGTACAGTCGACTCTGATATAACCGATACCCAAAAAATTGTATCAGTTTTCACGGAGTATCGGTTTTGTCAGAGCCAACTTCACTGAAAATTTTAAAAAAATGGCCGAAAATTATCGGTTTTGCCGAGATTATCGGTTTTGACAGTGTATCGGTTATATCAGAGTTGACTGTATTCTGAGTCAATGGCTCTTTATGAATCTGGACATGTAATATGCATGAGTCCCAAAAGAATTTTTGGTTGACAGTTAAACATGATTCCAGTCAAACAATTTGATCAACTCCCTTTGAGATGTCTCCTTATGACTTACAATTCATGTTGATCCTGAGGAAATGCTTCAAAATGATATTGTTCAGAAATTTTTTCCCTTGGAATCAAGAGACACAGTGAATACTTCAGTTGATAAATTTCAGGAACAAAGACTATCTGGTGTAAGCCCATCAGAAGGTTTACATCTCCACCAACAATCCAATTACAAGTATGTGTGATAATATGATTCAAATTTGAGCAAGACCAATCTGAAAAGCAAATATTGGCATGGGCTTGGTTGAAACCTTTGAACCCACATATCTGGAAGACCAAAGTATGCAGAAGGTGTATTCCAATCTTTCCATATTGAATTTCATTGTCACAATCAAAATTGGTGGATGTGATCCTTCAAAAAAGATACCATTTTTGCAGGCCAATGCTCCTCATTATTCCTGATTCAACTTGATGATAAACTTCAATTACACATATATCTCTGCTTCTAGGTGTGAATTCATGATCTTCTGAGGTTCTTTGAGGAATATGGAGATAGATATGGATGTTTTTTTTGGAATTATCAAGATCTCAAGCTAGGGTTCCTTGAGCACCATATTTAAAGATAGACCAATGAATTCTCATAGTGCTGCTTAATGGTTAGCTGTGAGCCTTTTGTTTCCAATTCTCTTAGACGGGTTCCATTTTGTATATCCCCAAATCCAAGAGGAATTCAAATGTACCAGCATATCAAAGACCATCAAATTGGCCTGTGGTCATTGCAAAACCTCATGGGTTTCGAAAGGAGTTGAACAATTCTTCCCTCAACTAAGTAATACCACCCAAGATAAGAAGGATGAACTTTTTCACTTAAATATACATTCAACTTGTGCCAAAGATCAAGGGTACCCAAAATTAAGTGCAACATTTTTCTACACATTATAGTTTGGCTACATGGACTCATGTAAATTTGCAAGTACCTCACACACATAAGACATTAGGAGACATGAATTTCTGCATGGCCAGGTAAATAATACATTTTTCTATGTTTGTATGCATACTAAATAGACGAGCAAACTGACTTTCAGTATGAATATTGGAAAAGGACAATTTGCAAAAATTAGATGCAAACAATTAGCACTCATATCTTAAGGTGTATATAATCAAGAGATTAAACAAAAGTGGCTCTGAATGTGTGAGTTTCATCGGTATGGCTCATCATGAGCCCAGCTTTCACTTTCTTCTGATGAGACTCAAGAGGAAGAAGTTTTCCAGATTCAAATTATTTTTTTGAAGATCTCTTTAATCATGAGTTGGAAATACAAAGGGTGGAAGGATATTCTGAAAGACTCTAAAAAAACCTTCTTTGTTTATTTCCTGTGGTTTGGTATCAAATGAAAACCAGAAAATTTCACTTACCAATATCTTTTCAATGTCTTGCCAAAGTTCCTTCATGTGAAATTTCACTGGTGGTCCACTTGATTATTTTATTGTTACTTTTGGAAGGCAACAGACATGCTTTTTTTCAAATAATTCAAGACATGGTTCTCAAAACTTCATGATGAGGAACTGTGATTATCTCTGTATCTCTGAAGATTGGCTGACCCTGCTTCCATGAAAAATGTGTCAAACAAAAAGTCTCATGCTGTATGTGAATCTGATAATTCATACTCAAGATTGAATTGTGGACAAAGACTAAAACTTTGCTGTGAGGTGGATCAGATTGTGACACTGAGTAAGAGAGATCTAGCATATTCAAATGCAACACACATTGCATCATTGGGAGCTATATGAATGAAAAGTTTTCAGGCAATTCATTTCATGTAAATCCCAAACCCTTCAATACTTTAAAAAATTATACAATGCTTCTTAAACCGTCTCTAATCACATGGCTCATGTTTTACCATATTGCACCCAGTGTTGCAACATCTGATAGTCTTCTACAGGGGAAAATATACAAATCATGGCAAAAAGGTGGTGTTACAAATCATCTACTCCACAAATATCAATGCCCAGATCTTAACCAAATACCAGAAGAATGGGGAGATGATGATTATGAAATACCAGATGGTGATGCAAAGGGTCAGTGAATCTCAAAATTCTTGATCAGTTGACAGCAGGCTTACATCTGAATGACTTTGAATTCCAGTTTATGAACTTGATGACACATTGAGACCTCTTGATTCTCTTGGAAGTGAATCAAACTCACCCTCTATTGATCAATCAGTATCAGATACATTGTGCACTGTTTCTCCAGTAGCCAGCTTCAGCCATCACCAAGAAAACCAGCTTGCCCACACGGGCCAGAACACAGATCATGATCAAAACCCAGCCTCAGATCTAATTCTGATTCATCAACCCTCAAGAACAAATTCTGAATCATCTTTATTTAACTTATTTGAAGATGACATAAGTCTCAAGAAAGGAACATCAGTAGTCTCTGAGCTTTGTGAGGGTATGGAACCTGACAAGTTGGGTTTGGAAGAAAGCACTTCTGATACCAACACAAGCATTGGATGTGTAGAGAATTTAAAGAATGATAAGTCTCTCATTATTTCTAAGGAAAATATCAAAGAAAGCTCTGCAAATCACCAAACTCAACAAAACCAAGGAAAAATGGGAAAACAAGCATATCACAATGTGATGGACAACAGTGAATCCTTACCAGTAGATCTGGACAAAAGGATCAATTTGAAAAGAAAGGAAGAGAGTGTGCTTGAAAACCTCAAGTGCAAGGAACCTCATCTTGATGGAACAACCTGGAAAAATAATCACAGTTCTCAGCCAAGTACCAGGTCCAAGTCCACACAGGATGTATATTCAGAGCCAGAAAATCTCAATGAACATAAAGGAAGAACTTCATGGTTCATGTCACCAGCATCATTAAGACTTCCCATTATCCCTGAAGCACAATTGGGAGAGTGGAAAATCAAATCAAACAAAGAATGTTTCAAGGATATGGGCAAGTTTTGGTCTAAAAAAGATGTGAAATTGAGGAGTTTCCTTAGCACACAGTTTCCAAATGAACCCATTGATTACAATAGTGTTACTTTTTTAGTATTCCAGAAGCTCTTGTTTCCAATGTTTATAGACAAGGTTGCATTCATACATCCTCTCATCAAAGAGCCATTCAAGTTTACAAGCTTATCTTCAATGCTAGTATCTGCAAGCAATTATTTCCAAGTCTGGTGTACAAAAGAAGTTGAAAAATTGATCAAATACTTGGATGATCATGTCAAACACAAGGGAGAAGAAACTCTGACATTCGAAAATAGAATGAGGCTTTGCAAAAACACAATTTCCTCAGTTTTATATAAATCAGAGTTTGGGTATGAGGAAACACATCAGTTGAAGATGATTGTATGGTCAATTATAGATCAATGGCTTGGCCAGAATGTGTTACCTCAAAGAGCAGGATCACACACTGGATTTGTGATACTTGAGAGGATGTATCATGGAGATTGTTTGAAAAGGGAATAAATGAGGAAACTGGAGTGTTAGTTTGAGCCATGTTTTCTGTTTTGGGTTTCTTGTGTGTATTGTCATGTGCAAGTTCCGTCAACCAAAGATGTCATTGCAGATAGAATCCGTTCTTCAAAAATATTGTTGACATGGTTTTTCTTTACATCCTAAATTTTTACCTTGATATAGAATAAGAAACAATTGCACTCTTTGGAAAATAGTCATTGACTTTCACAAGTAAGTTCTACCACTTCAAACTTCAAGGTGACACCTTTCCTGCCCTACATGTCTCTTGGTGCCATTGACATTGGGGCCTTACCAAAAAGAAAACGTTAAGGATGTGGATGAAATTTTCTGTTCCCAGTTTTCCTTGAATCCTTCTCACAGAAACCAGATATGGTGTGTCCAAAGTTCAGATGTCAGAATGACAAGGACTTTTCAGCACCAACTTTGCATTCAAATGGGTAAAAGACAGAAAAATCTGTTTTTTTTATTTGTGCATTTAAATTCAAGTTGATAAGGAAGGCACCAGGGATGGTAGAGCAATGTTGGAGGGGCAAGGCCACTGTGATAAACTCTGTTCCATTTTCAAGAGCCATTCTAGCTTTGAGAAGAAGTTGCTACAAATTTGACTCCACACCTGCGCAATGCCACCAACGATGAGAAGGACACAAATTCTATTCTTCATCACCCAGAGATCAAATAAGACCTTGCACCCACACGGATCCCAAATTAACTCTGATATGATCTGGGTCAAAACTCACATGCCTCGGAGTTCCAGGCTGCACCCAGCCGTGTTTTGTATTGTAACCATTTTTAAGTTTCGACCCGACCCCTCCGATAGCCCTGGTAGTACAGGGATCGGAATCGGATCAAATTAAAAGAAAAAATTGCAAATTTAAATACAAAATCACAGTCAGTCACACCACAACTCACCAACAACTTATCAACAATAATCAACAAACAGCTCAGCATTCAAAAGAAAGAAAGAAATAAAACAAACAACAAGAAATCGATCAGATTCAGATTCAAAATGATATTAGTAGAAACTCATTCGAATCCATCGAGCAATCCTATAGCTGGTCCATCTATACCACGTTCATTCTTAACTTCAACAACAACAGCAACGACAATGGCCAATCAATCAGCAACGACACCTTCTGATCTAATATCACCTTTATACCATTTTGGTCATTCACATCAACATCAACATCAAGGTTTGTCTTTGATTTTTAAACCTGATGTTCATTTCTTCGTCAAAACTAACTATGAACCTTTTCGAACTTTTCTTGTATAGCTTCAAATGAATCTCAACAACAAATCAATCAAACTCATTCATCATCAATCTTAAAAAGGAATTCAAATCAATGTAAAACTCAAATTAGACATGCTGATCATCTATTAGACACACCTGGAGTTTGTTTTGCATCTTGGCTTTCGAATCATTCTTCTCATCTTGGTACAGTTCGATCCACTTCCATCATCAATCGAAGTTTATCATCTTCATCATCTTCAACTTCTTCTTCAATTACTTTATCTTCATCAAAACAACTTAATCATCAATCCTCTTCAACTCAAATTACAACTTCTTCTTCTTCAACTTCTTCGCCAAATTCAATTCCAACTCAAGTCGATAATACTCCTGGAAAGAATGTTTCAAATGATCAATCCAGTCTGACTTCTTCACCTTCTCCACCATCACCTTCGATCCAATCTAGCAAGACTACAACTCAAGTTGATACAAATCCGACTCCTGCAAAACCAAAATCATGGGCTGATTTACTTCGAAGTGGAACATCGAAATCAAATCAAGCAGTCTGACCATCGAATTCCACTTCTTCCGATCAAACCAAAACAACAAATACTACCACCAACAACGTTCAGTCTTCCGCTCGATCGCTTGAATCTGACATAAGCGATCTCAAGTCATCATCAACATTACTGTCTGACCGTCTTCAAACTATCAAAAACTCCAAACACGTTCCCTTCATCGTTCCTAGAGGTTTGATCAACAACGGCAACATTTGCTTTGCCAATGCGGTAAGTCTCAACTCAAACTTACTTACACAATCTAGAAATCTATCAAGAAAGATCACTGATGAAAATGTTGCACATCTCTATCCAGATCTTGCAAGTCTTGGTTTATTGTGTACCATTCTATAACTTATTAAAACATCTAAGTTTATATACTACACATGATTTCAAATCACAAACTCCTCTATTAGATGCTATGATCGGTTTTATAAATGAATTCGAATCAATCCCTTTATCTGAACTTGAACCGATCAAAGATCCCAAAACTTCAAACGTTTTACGTTATCATCTTCCTACATATCTCAAAAAAATCGGCGAACCTTTCATTGCTGAATCTGTTTGGATTGCTACAAAGGTTAATTCTAGATTTGATGCGATGCGGGTAAGTTTGATTCGATCATCCTTTTCTTTCTTGTTATTCTAATTGTTTACGATTTATTTGGTTTGTATCCAGGGTGGTCAACAAGAAGATGCACAAAAGTTTTTGTGTTTCTTCTTGGATACTTTACATGAAAAGCTATTGTCCGCCATCGAACGACACGATGGACTTATCCGTTTACGTCAACAGCTTGCTGGTGCTGCTCCGAATGCCACCAATAAGGACAATCTTATCAAGCCACCTGCCAATGAGCTCGATCAACCTAACCCATCATCTGATGGATGGATGGAAGTTGGTTCAAAAGGACGTCCTTCAGTTACTAGATCAGTAAGTCCTCAATTTCACCCTCCTCATCCTTCAAAACCTTTGTAAATCTTATTGCCTCCTCTTGACCTTTTTGTATGAAAAGACCGACAGTATTTCATCACCTCTCACCTCAATCTTTGGCTTCAACACCCGTTCGATCCTACATAAACCTAAACAAAAAGATTCTGTAACGTTTGAACCTAACAATATGTTGCAACTCTCAATCGAATCACCAAATATCAAAACGATCGAGGAAGCATTATTAAATTTTTCAACACCTGAAATCATATCTGATATGATGACCAAGAATGGAATCAAATCATCAGCTACAAAACAAATATTTATTGAATCATTTCCACCAGTTTTCATCTTACATTCAAAAAGGTTTGGGTATTTCGAAGGTGAAGTTAAGAAGAATTCAAAATCAATCAAGTTTGGTAATCTTTTAAAGATTCCTGCTTCAGTTAGAGGTTCTACTCAAAGGACTGAAGAGGTTTCTTATAAGCTTTTTGCTGGTTTGTCCTGATTTCTTCCTCTTAATCTATTATTTTCGAATAGAAAACTATTTTTTTAGTTTTTTCTTTTGATAGTGGTCTATCATCATGGTTTAATGGCATCAGGAGGACATTATACCGTTTCGATTAAACAGCAAGTGACAGATGATTGGATTTATTTTGATGATACGATGATCAAAGATCATCATCAAGCTTTTCCAAATGAAGATTTTCATCAAGATTTAAAAACTCCTTATGTTTTGTTTTATACTCGATGTTCTTAAATTTAACAAACCAAAAGATGAATAATAATAATAGAAAATGAAGTTTTTTTTTTGGATTTGATTTTTTATTAGATATTTTTTTAGATTCTTTCTGAAAAGAGAATTAAAACGATTTGTGGTTTTGTTGGGGATTTTTTTTTGTTTTCTTTCCAACAATAATGATGATGATTTGATGACATACATTAGAGAAAAGATATTCAGAAACACATTAAATGAGAATCGCACACAGTGCACTTGCCATCTATACTTTGGAAGAGGAGACAAATTCGATTTTGATTCCTTCAATAAAACTTGTAAAAGTGATTAAAAGTAAAGCATCCTAAAGCATCTGATTGGTGTGGTACGATTGATTCAGATTCTTTGTTTTCTGGGCTATGGGTTTGGATGTATGTATCGATGATTTGCCCAGATGTTCTAAGGCTTCAGGTACATGACCTACTTCAAGTCCTCAACGATTCAACCAGAGTACTCAATCGACGAATTCCCACTTGGAAGAGGTACACCTTCACGAGGCACGGTGGTTTACCCTCCATTGGTCAAAGTCAAGGTAATCCATAGTATGGTCTCTTCCAAGCATCCCATGAAGCGTTTCAGGTTAATCTGTTGCTTCTCATCCATCTAGGGTCCTTTACTTGATTATCATGGTGTTCAGACGTTTTTTCAAAGGTCTGGAGGAGCTGGATCAATTCCAAGTTTAAACAAGATATAATTCTCCTCTCCACATCAGCAACTGATACTAAGACCAGATACTTGCCCTTGATAAATTGAGACTATTGATTCATTAGATTCATTACTGAATCAAATACTCATGCTTTTTGTATCATGTCCAAAAAAAAGAAACATTCACCAATATTGGGTGAAGAGATTTGGGTAGGAAATTCAACTGAACTGTGGCGCAAGATATATACGAAGTACTGCTATAAGAAGGCCATAACAATGGATTGTATTGAAATTGGTAGATGTATTTTTTTACAAAACAAGATTATCATGCACTTTATTTTTGGAATTTTCTATGCTTTTTCTTTTCATCTTCTGGGTTGGATTCTTTGTGTGGATATTTCTGGGTACTGAAGTGGTATGAAGAGTTAATGTGGAGGCTTGGTAGGCCTCACTTTAGATCAAAAAATTTATAAAGAGTTATTGGTCTCAAAAAGATGGGAAAATGTAGAACAGAGTCCTCATAGAGGTTCTGGTGACTCAAACAAACTGATTCCATGTTGTTGGTTAGAATTCCATGCGGTCATGGTCTAAACGGATAGGCTACTGGCCTTTTTTCCTCATTTCAAGAGTCTCAAAACAAGTGATACAAAAAAAAGACATAGCTTTGCAAAACAGAAAACATGAAATATCAAAATATCAAAAAAACTAGAAGACAATTAAAGATGATAAAGGAAAAGAATATCCTCAAAGTTTGAGATTGAAATCACATGGTCGATCCCTGGATAAGTGTAGGGCTCTTTAGGTTGAAGGGAAAAGATGGGATTGGCTTACTCAAGTTTAGAATTTCCCCAGTGGTAACCATACAAATTACCTTTATTACATATTTCACGACCACACCCAAGAAAAAAACCAACAACGAAATATGAACATAAAGTGAAGGCATGATTTCCTTCAATGTTTGGGAAGGAACGGTTGGTTCCTTCACATAAATCGATTGTATTGTCGACTAAGCCTATCCAAATGATTGCAAGATAAGAGCTGGACCATTGGGAAAGCACGAATAGAACTGCAATGAGAAGATAAGAGCTTCCCAATACCTGCAAGAGATGTAGAAACATAAGTCTATCAGAAATGTAAAACAAGATGATAGATACTCCCTAGAAAATTAAGTAATTACCTGTCGGTAAAAGGTAATTGTCGGGTTTATGTAGAGTCTCATACTAATAGCCATTAGTACAAGATGGCGACAGGAGATGAATCCGAGCCATCTCAAATTTGATTCAAAGAAGCCTGGTTGGTAGGTTCAAGCAGAAGTACAAGGTCAGTAAGTGAAGTTGCAAACAAGTAGAGAATCACATACACGTTTTTTTCTCAACTAGGAAATGCAGGCCTAAGAACATGGATATTAGACCCTCCATGAAGATGCGTTCCATTGTACCAAATAACGATGATTGTAATACTCCATGGTTATCCACTGATTCTGAGAAAAACCAATTGAGGCATATGCTTGAATTGCTTTTGAAAAATTTAAACAAAGTCGTCTTGAAGCCCAAGAGTAAATGTTGAAGACATGATCCCTTTTCTTCAAGATTCACATTCCCAACAGCCTCCATAGCGTCAATGCTGGCAATACCAATTGAATTTCAGTTAACGATATGGAGACTTGATGGTATAAGATTGAATTCTGTCAGCTGGTTTGTTGAGATATCCCCCTCAGTATTTGCTGATGTTGTTCTTTGGCGTACTTCTGACATTAGGATTGAAGTGAGTTTGTTGCTAGGTAAGGCTGGATCGATGAAAGTTTGGGAAAGTAGTGGATCAATCAAATTGTGGGAATAGTTTGGTAATAGTAGGGCGGTTCAAGTAGCCCATTTACGACCAAATTTAGAAATATAAGTTTTGAGCGGTACCTTAAAATTAACGGATAATTATAAGGCCGCGAGCCAGCTCTAGAGGTGGCTCGCGGTTTTACGATCCGATATTGGGCCTTATAATTCTTACACCTTAGACCTGCTTGCACAAAAAAAGGGGGGCAAATCATTGCTGACCGGTTTTCTTTTTTTCCTTGGTTTGTACCTATTTCTTTTTTCGAAGGTTCTTCATTTAGGTTTTTTTGGCTCGTTTGTGCCTTTTTATTTTCTCGGTTTTTGTTTAATTATGTTTTTTTTCGGTTTGTTCCTGGTGTATCGGAGCTACACCACGGGGCTTTGCTTTTGGGACTGGTATCTGATCGGTAGTTTTGGTTCTCTTCGGTGAACCTTGACTCATCATGCTTCACCACTTTTGGAGCTTTGGATTCATATCGACATTCACAGATCAGGCGGTTCATCAACGTGTGCGTTATCTCTCCTGGTATCTCAGGTATTCATTTTGGAGCTTCAACGGGATCATCAGCGCGTCTGACATCTGTTTGGAACTATCAAGATCAACTGAAGTCAAGCACAGGGGCCAACTCGGACATCGCAAGCTTTGTCAACGTTCAGCAGAACCCTCTCACCCTCTCAGCAACGATGGGCCGTTGCTTTGCGTTGTGAGCAACGGGCGTTGCGCGCAACGCAACGGTCAACTTTTGGACCCACTCAGCCGCAACGCACCGGGCAAAGGGTATACCTTTGCTTTGCTCGCCGTTGCGTTGCACGTTGCTCAACTTTGCGCGCAACGGAACGCATTAAAGGCCCAGGCGGAAGCCGACTGGAATCAAAGTTGTAATATAAACAATTAATTAATTTTATGCATAGAAATAGACATTCAGTGTTAAAGGAAAGTATTGAAGTATTAAAAAATATAGAAAGGCGGATTAAAGAGTGTAATTAAAGTATAGATAGGCGGATTAAAGAGTGTAGAGATTATTAAAGTGTAGAGAACTAAAGGACTTATTAAACTAGTGAAGTATAAGAGACAAAATTAAAAGAAAAAAAACTACTTCTTGAATCGCCAACCGCCAAAAGCTTCGATGGCCTCATTTGCCTCTTTATACTTGTGACCTAGAGGCACACGTTGACGCCACCAAAGCCGAGAACCTACACAATATTCAATTGTGCGTGGTACTAGACGGACCCTGTCGGAAGAACATATGTCCGCCGCCGCGGAAAAAGTTTGTTCAACTATTGCCGAGCTTGCAGATAAACTCAAATAGTCTCTTGCAAGCGACGCTAGGGTGGGAAAAGCTCCACAGTGGACCTGTAAACATAAAAAGTTGAACGTGTGTAAAAATGTGAAATCGAAATTACCCAAAAGAAACAAAAGAAGCGCTTACCCTCCACCATGGCAAAACTGATTTAGTTTGTCGTGCATTGTCTTTGACACCCATTGGGTGAGTACCCTTAAGGTAAGAAGCAATTTCATTCGACTCTTCCTCAACATCTTGAACCTTGAAAAGTTGAAAGAGGTTGCTGGGACCGGCCTTGTTTGATGTGTCTTTAGGTGCAGGTTGAGGCTGAGTCTGATCAGGTGTAGCCAATGCAAGCTTTGCCTTGCGAGTATCGAATTTGCTTTGCAAGAGCTTACGTGCTCGACTCGTGATTTCATGTTCCAATCCAAAAGCGCGTTCAAAGAATTGCAGTCGGAAGAAAGGATTGAGGAGCGTGGCCATTACAGTGGTATCGCACTGTAAGGCCTTGTCAAAATACTTATCCACACGTGTTTGCATCGACCAAATCATTGGAAGAAGTGCGTCACCAAGGGATAGTTCCTCAACTCGGGTGGCAAGGTGAACTTTGAGAGCGTAGAACTCAGGGATGACCAAGCATCCAGTGGGTCCGTTGCCTTCCATTTGCTTTGTTAAATCCAAGAATGGCTTTCAAAAACAGGACAAGTCAGCCAAATTTCAAAATCGAACGATTAAAAAGACCTAAGCTTGAACACTTACAGCAAGTTCAGCTGTCAACTCTTCCAGGGCGCTCCAGTCGTCCGGAGCGAAGAATATCTCATGGAAGTATCCACAAGGTTTGGTGTTTCCCTTTCGAAGTTTCTTCTGTTTGAGAAGGTTGAGGTCGTCATCTAACAATTTGCTGACAACCTGGTTGCAAGTGAGGATTGCTGCAAGTTAGATTATATAGTGATTAAAAAATAGTGATTAAAAATTTACTACACACTTACTTTGCAAGCCTGGACCAATCTATTCAGCGAGTCAAATTTGGCATTCCACTGAGTCGCATTGTACCCTGGAGTCAAGGGCAAGACTTTCAAGCCCATACTCTTTGCCGTTCTTGAGAAGTGACGCCTCCAAGCTGCAGAGCGAGCAACTCGACGTGATATGAAGTTAGCCTGCATCAAGTTTCAAGTTCAATATTAGCTATCGTGTGTAAAGTGATGAGATACAAAGTAAAAAGACACATTAGTTACTTTATTGATCAAGCTGTTTGATCGATTGGCTTTCTTTCGGGAACCAGTTGTGTGGTACTTATTGCTGCTCGAGTTTTCAAGTGAGATCTCGGTGGTAGGGTCCGGATTGTCTTTCTGGTTTTCGTTGTCTTCGTCGTATTCTGGAGAAGCATCTAGAAATTCTCCATATTCGGAGTCATGGTCAGTCTCAGCTTCTTCAGGTGCATTGTCATTGTTCTCTGAATCCGGCAGGTCGATGAGGATTGCAGTCAATGGGGTGTTATCCGCTAGGTCTTCATCTTCTTCGTCAATGACCGGAAGGGTTCCAGAGAAGGGGAATATTCCAAGTTGCTCCTCACGTTCCTGAGCCCGTGAAGGAGCTGCCCTTCCTAGCTCCTCTAAACCACCTTTCACAGTGGAGGAGACTTTATGGAGGAAACACCGGGCGTAGTCAGTTGCTGGGTTCCAAGTGTAACATTTTTCGGGGGCAGCATCTAATTCCGTCTCTGCGTCGATTTTGCTTTCTTCATGCAGCTGGAACTGAGCATGCATCTCGTTCGCCATGGTGATGTTGTTTGACCCAGAGTCAGTCACCTGCGCAAGCATGTGCATTTTGATAAAAAAACATGTAAGTGACTCTAAAATATGAAACAAAAGATAAAACAAGTAGAGATCAGAGAAAAAACTTATCTTATATTGAAGCTTATGCTTCTTCATAAAGTGTACCAATGGCTGTGCGAGCCATACACCCTTGTGATGCCAAGCAATGAGTTTCAGGGTCAAGTGGCGAACTTGATAATTCCAATTGTCGTCAATGAAAGTTACTGCTGCACCGAGGAATGCATGAATGTTGTTGTGTGTTGTCCAACCATCATGAATCAAAGTAAACTGTTCGATGTTGTTCTTTCAGTTTAAAAAGAATCAAATTGTATCAATAACAGTCGGTTGAATGGGAAATAATTAGACAGAATTGATCACTTACTGTAATTTCTTTTAAAACCGTGTCTTGAAGTGACACATACATACCAGCAGCGTCTCTTGCAACCCATGTGCGTCCAAAAACCTTTGCATCACGTTGCGCGTATTGAAATGCAGATCGCAGGATTGAATCCTCAATTCAACTTCAAGGTAACGCTTCGGCAAGAATCCAGACCGCTAGGATTTGGTTGAGGACTTCGTTCTTGAATGGCATCTTGCTTTCAAAGAAATCGGGAATCTGCTTTTGCACAGCCGCGCGCTGGGCAGCTTCGCGTTCGAGAAGTGAAGGTGGAAGTATCATGCCACCATCAATGGCAATCTGCCGCTTCTTACATGACAATCAACGACGCCCTACACCGTATCCGTCCCGATGGATCTTGAGGTTACCCAGTGAGTCGGGGGCAACTTGTACCGTCTTCTTACACATAAGACACGGCCACGATAATGGCCCCAATCCTTTTGCCTTCTGTTGAGTGAACGAAAGAAAGATATTAGTGTTTGACAAATTTAAAGGAGACAAGATAAACAGAAGGAAAAAAGGCTTTTACATCATCATCTGAAGGGAAAGGTTCTCCAAAATACTCTTCCACAGGAGTATATTCAGGTGTGTCTTGATCGTCATCGCTGGAAATTTCCAGTATCTTGGCTCGCTTGGATTTCTGTCGTTCTGTGAGACCGTCATCCAAGTCTTGATTCATTTCAGACTCGGGGGGTAAATCATCACGATGAGGCTACCGTTCAATGTTAGCATCAGTAATGTTCTTTGTGCCAAGAACAAGTTATGTTATCTTTCAATACTCACCTGTGATGCTTTAGAAGGTGAACGCTGCCGCTTTTTCCGGGGTGCTGGAGCTGGACGCTGTGAAGTTGACGGTCCAGGAGATGTGGTTTGGTTCTTCTGGGGCTGTTTTGATGTTCGTTTCTTTTGGACCAATGAACCACTGGTTGATGTCGATCCTTGATTCTTTCGTCCCTTTGTAGCGGTAGACTGCGGAAGAGGGATTGTGGTCCGGCTATCAGAAGAGGGCTGAATCATTCCAGGTAAGGTCTGACAAGGTGTTGGTGGTCTAATTGAACGACGGGGTGGTGTTGTTAAGGTACGTTGGGTAGCAGAGACATCAGAAGGTGTTTGTGAGATGGAGGATTGTGAATCGGGGCTGCCAGTGCTAGCCATGACAAACGTAGTTAAAGCTGAGAGAAAAGACTTGAACTGATGGTAAGATGAAAAGATGATAATAAAAAAGGATATGGTGGGATCGGATGAAGGGGGGACTGCTTTGAATCTTCTTCGCCGGTAGTAGTTTAATTGGAGTCTGGATTGAGGTAGAGGTCTGCTGGTCCGTTGTGGTGATCTATTTATGATATTAAGCAAAAAAATTAATCATCTTTACTTTACCAGTTTATTAGCAAACTTCAATATAGCAGAGAATTCGAAATTCAGGTTTTCAGATCAATTGAAGCTCTTAGAGGCTTATGTATACTTATTAGCTCATTATTATGTCATCTTATTTCAAAATTATTATTAAGATCAACATAGTTTACTTACAAAGTTATTACAAAAAGACAGAAAAAGAAAAGATACGAAAAATTCGAAAATATAGGTGTAAAAGTTGGAAAATGGTTTTTAGCTTATTTATAATTAAGTTATGGGTTTTATAAGGTTAGAATATGAAAGAACAACAGTTTATTATACAGGAACAATTTTAATATTCAAGGTTGATAAGGGGAAACAGAGGTTATTAGCAGAAAGGTACTTTTTCGAAGTTGGTAAACAAGGGTTAGGCGTGTAGTTTACATATGTAATGGTGGTAGTGATGGAATTTAAGGTTGCCAAGAGGATTTTCCGGGATTTTTAAGGTTATAGAAGATGATGTCATATTACATGAGCAAGGAAAAGGGAGTAGCAGCTGTGAAAAGTGAAGAAAATAGGTGAAAATCGTCGAAAATGGAGGTTTTCAGCTAATTACATATGTCAAATGACGTCAGAATAAGTTGGTAGATGGCTCATTCAACGCAGAAGAGTGGATTACATAATGTACAACCTTTGAATCATTAGTAACGGAGGTGTATGTAAAAAGTTATAAGGGAAATAAGAAATTGGTGTGAATCTTGAATTTACAGTCACAAGACACATGTAACACCAAAAACCTTAACTTCACAACTCAATATCTTACTCATCACTCATCAGAAGTAGGTCTTATAGGTGTCAGAAATGATCAGTAACACGTGGGCTACAAGATGCACTTTAGTAATCAAAAATTGGAGCACATCTGAAAAAAATCGTAATCTCAAAAATTGGGTTTCAGCTAGTTTACAAGGAAAAAATCACCTGTATTCATCTTAAGAAGTGCTGTACATTACATCATTGCGTCATTGATCACTTTTGGCTGTGAAAATTACATCATACATTAGTAACAAGATCATTACATTGCGTCATTACATGGTTTTTAGGGTTATTTAGGCGGATTTGATTGGTTTTTGAGGCTGTTGACTGTTGTAAAGATTGTTACATGTGGATATAAGTACTCCTTGATGATTTTGGGATTGTAGCGCCCTTTTCTGCATCTTATACCTTTGTTGTAGTGTTATAAATCATCATTTATTTACTATATTTGTACTAAGATCACTTAAATCCGTCCCTTCAAAAGCAAGGAGAAATTTATTTACGTGTGTTAAAGACTACAAGTCTAATTGGGAATAATACTTACAACAGTATTGCTAGTAATAAACATAGTGTGTGACTTTTTTGCGCTTAAAATCTGGGAATAATACTTAACAACAGTATTGCTTTATTTCTCTGGTGCCTTTTATCCTTTTCTCTGTTATCACAAAGTGGTCAGCAAGTGCCCTTGTGCTGGTTTCTTTGAAGAAGGCAGTCTTTAGGCAACTTCTACTATATTACACGTAGTAGATTATCCCTTCTTAGGTGTTGTAAAGCTCTTGTTGAGCTATAAATACTACATATTGGTGACTCCACTGGGGCTCTGTACTTTAAACAAGCAACATCCGTCAATTATATTTAATAATTTCCCTAATTATTATCTTAAAACATCAACAATTTATTATTAAATCATCAATAATCAAATTAATAATAATACAATTCGTCATTTCGAAAGAAAATTATATTCAACAAATATCAACAAAATTCAATTAATAAAATTCAATATCAACTAATAACATATTAAATAACAATAATCAATCTTAAAAGAAAGAATTAACTAAAAACCACGCGTTGCCCGCCGTTGCTTGCCTTTAGCAACGCAGCGGCCCATCGTTGCTCTCAGATATAACATTTTTTATATAAGCTGCTCCCCTCTGGCCTGTATTCACTCATTGTGCACCGAATTTCCTTGGACTTTCTGGACATCAAGTCTGGCTCGCAGCGCCGCGCAGCGCTGCTGACCGCAATTTGGGTAACATAGCTTTAATTTGGGGGGGACAAGCTCGGTAGTTTCAGCGGTAGCTTTGCCATTTTTTTGGCAAAGTTTAGTAGTGGGCAGCGTAATTTTAAGTCGCAGCGTCTCGCAGCGTTGCCAGCCAAAATGTAGCGTTTTTTTCTTTCGTATTCACAATAAGAAAAAAAAGTTTCAAACTACAAAACTTGTATTGTAAAGACCGTCAAGAAAGGTGCAAAAGGTTAACAAAAAATACTACTATAAAGACTGTAAAGAAATATGAAAGAGAGAAAAAGATTGACTTTAAAAAAATAACTCAAAAAAAATGGAATCAACAAGTTAAAGTTAGAATTGAGACTGTCTGGTCTTTTTTTTGATTGCTTTCTTTGCGAACTCAATCACCTTTCCCACTTCAGCAAAATCACCAGTCAAAGGGACACCTTCTGTTCTCCATAACTGACTACTTACCAGCATCTCAATCATACGAGGTGCTAGGCCACCACGTTCTGCAACACAGATTCGCCCTGCGACAGAGAATGATCTCTCAGGGGCAGCAGAAGCGGCTGGGGTTGCAAGGTAATCCTGAGCCAGTACGGACAAGACCGGGTATTTGCCTGCATGAGCCTGAAGAAAAACCAGGATCAGTATGGTATACAAACAACATAAAAAGAGAGAGAAAAGAAGGAAACGAAAAGGAAATTCATACATACCTTCCACCAATCCAAAACGGATTGAGGATCCTTCAAATTAGCCGATCCCATTGGATCGATACCTTGAAGGTATCGATCAAGCTCATTAAGCTCACTTGAGGTCACTACCTCATCATAGAAATTCATTGATTTGGATCCAAAAGCTTCAACTTCAGGTGATTCAGATTGTTGAAGAGTAGCAGTTGGTTGTTTATGGAGTTCCATTTCATCACGTTTGTCTGTAAAAACAGCTTTCAGTAATTCCTCGGCTCGATTGTTGCCTTCTGCGCCCATCCCAAAAGAGTGAGGAAAAAACTTGACTCTGAGTGCAGGGTGGAAGACTGCGGCCAGGATCAGAGTGTCGCATTCACTTGCTTCATTTAAATAAGAAATGATCTTATCAATCATGATATCAACCATGGGATAAAGGGGATCATTCTGGTGCATCCGTTTGAATCGTTCCTCCATGGTGGCCTTGAGCTGAATGTACTTTGCCAAAACGAGACAACCTGTTGGTTGATTCCCCTCCATCTCACGAGTTAAAATTTTATAAGGCTGTGAAGCAGATCAAAAATTCAGATTAGTATCAGGTTGATTTCAAGATTAAAATAAAACAGATAAGAAAGATGAAAGCGAAATGGAAGGAGTACTTACAGTGAGAATGTCTAACAGGTCTCTCAACGCTTGCCAATCGGCCACTGAAAATATGACCTCTTCGAAATAACCGTATTTCTTGCCATCTTTTTTTGGACAACGTTTCTTAGAATGAACCTCAGCCAAGTCGTCTCTCATGACTCTATCGATGAGCTAAACCGAAATTACAATTATTAGCATCATATATAATGGAAGACAAAGACCAGACCACTTACATCACGAGCGGCCCACATTCTCTCCCAACGCTCAGCTTGGATACCCCAACGGATCCCATGGCCTGATAGAAGGGCCTTGAGCTGAGGTAAATCATCAAGCTTACGCTGGGTATTTGCTCTCTCTCGACGTCGATTAAAGTCGGCCCGGTGTCCACTTAAACGCGTTAGCTTCTTGTTCACCGTGTCCATCTGCAAGTGTAAATAAAAAAATTAGATTATAGAGTGATGAAATGAAAGTAGGAAAAGAAGTGCTTACATCTTTAGTGAGCTGTTTCATATATGTGTCACCAAGAAGATAAGCATTCTTGCGCTGTTTGTAAACCTCAGGCTCGTCATCCTATTCTGCGTCTTCTTGTTCTTTGTCAGTTTCGGATTCTGAATTTGATTTGTCGGATCCACTACTGTGATTGCTGTCGAGATCATCATCATCACTTGTCCCACCCTCAACCGAATTGATGGTGTTGTAGGTGCCAT